CAGGCTATGGCAACTCGATGTCAGTCTGAGTACGGACAGCAGGGCGTGCTTGTACCACATCGGCACGGCCGTGAACCGCGAGTATCACTGCCGGAACAGCTTGGCCATTCACCGTGTCTGCCAATGCCAGCGCTGCATAGCTATCGGCCGGTTTTGTCAACACCGGAGCGGTCAAGCTATGGCCCGATCCCGCCAGCACCAGAAAAGCATAGCCCTCAATCTTGTCAGCTGTTACTGGGGCAGGACGAGCTTGCTCTCGACACGCCGTTGCCCTCCTGCTCTATGTGTAATCCCTCATCTGATCGGCTGCCACAACCTGACACAGGGCCAGGGACGACCGCAGCCGCAGGCGCTGCTGAAATATTTTGCGAGGCGCCTCCACGATTACAAGTAACCGAACCCTTTCCGTTTGACAAAATGCTCAGTCGCGTGTCAGCCTATACTTCTGTGCTCGCCAGCGCCGCATCGTCCAATCCGTCACGCAGCCGACTCCGGACGTCGGGCGCCCGACTCGATCCAGTTTCGGATTGCCATCCTCCGTCCCACGGACCCATCACGTCCAGTGAATCTCTCAACCAGATTTTAACGACCAATCTGCCTTCGCGCGTACCTGTACGGCGCCGATCTCTGGTGCATGATAGCCCGTCTCTTCCGCAACGAGTCGAGGTTCCGTACAGCTCCACGTCAATGGTGAGAGGAGGCGGTCAAATTTAGGACTACAAGCCACTCACTCTAGCTTGCTGCAGGCATACGAGGCACAAAGGACCCGTGCTCCCACGTCTCTATGCCCCATTCCACGACATCTATCGTCCAGTCAGGATGCAAACTCGCGACTCGTATGCAAGGACCCCGTCTCGAACAAGCAGGGCACCCGCCCTACTCGGCATCGGAGGATACACATCGCTTATTGGAGAGCTGGAAACAATGGCTGAGAAGTGTTACCGTCACGGCGGACTGACCACATACCACAGTACGGGAAACGGTCCTGTAGCGGCGTAGCGGCGATGGAGCCCACAGAGCAGCGAGCCAGAAAAGTCCGTCTCTGGTGCTACGGATGTTTTGTTGTTCTAGAGACGGCTCGATTCAACGGTCAACGTGCAATGTTGATGCTGATCAGTCCAATGGTTGATGTCTCATGCTCCAGCGAGTCAATCATACACTCGTTAGCTATTTTCGACTCTTCAATATGGTCAAGTTGAATTATCTTTTGCCTGCGTCCTCGATATGACAGCATCTTCATAGCTCCAGTATCAGTGATGGTGCCTAGGGCTATCGAGCTTCCAAGGACTCTTCCTCCAGCGATTCCAAGCAAAGCTGCCCTGGCGTGGGAGCCTTCTATTGTAGATCGATCATTCAATCCGCCGGCCCATCTCCCTCTCCTTCCCCCTCCCACTTTCGTCTATCCTTTCCAGCACCAGCTCACTTTCGGTCCAAGTCCAGCCTCAGAGCACGTCAGGCCAGGTCAAGCCCACCACTTGCATGTCAGGTGCGTGTATGTACCTTGGCCAGAATCTTGACGTCACGCACCCAGCGCGTCCGACGTCTAGCGATCCATAACCTTTGTATCTTACCCGTATCTTCAGAGTACGAGTAGTAAATCGGCGTTTACACAGTATGTCGACATGGTATCCGCGCAAGGAATGTCGGATCACCTCCTGTCTTGCGCTTTCCCTCCTGTCCTGCCCAGTTGCAGTACTACGTAGGTGTCGTGGAATCTCACACTCCCGTCGTATCATGCAAGGTAACTTCCGCTCTGCACTGACTGGTCTGCGTTATACCGCGCGAGTAGGAGTAGGACTCCGCAAACACGACCGACCACGAGGAACTGATCGGGTTGCTCTGTACTACTCGTGTATCGAAGCGAACCAAGCGCGATCAAGCGGAAATAAGCGAGGCGGGATGGAAAGGATATTAGGGGCGGATACGAGGTGCGGATCGAGATGGGAGATCGTAGCTCGTACGTTGTCGTACTTGACGGAAGCGTATCGGGAGGTCCAATAGTCGATTCGGTTCGATGTTCAGTTCAGTTCACTTCGGTTCACTCCCGTTTGGGTTATTTACCTAGGCGGTTTGGGTTAAGCATGGGGATGTTATGGTATTGCATACTAGGAGGTATGATCGGTCCTGTACGGAGTATGCACCCAGTCTAGGTGCCAGTATGTATTGTATTTCATGCTACCTGTACTCGGCAAGGAGGGTGATCGTGAGCATTAGCATCACTATGGGACCGAGACTGAGACTGAGACTGAGACTGAGAACACTCACTACGCTTACACGCGCGCCCAAACCCATACCCGCCCGCCTGTTTGATTGGTACGCAGTGCCTACAGTGACTGGCACATTGACACACATGCGCGCACACATACACGGGCGCGGAGGCAGGCCGCCGAACACGAGAGAGCAACTCTAGACGATGATGGATGGATACTGCATGAAGACCACGAAGACCACGAAGACCACGAAGACCACGAAGACCACGAAGACCACGAAGACCACGAAGACCACGAAGA